TTGTTTTCTGGTACAATAAACTGTCTCAGTCTCATTTTGAACTCCCCCTGTCCCAGTCCTGGAATCTACTGTTTCTCCTGGTTCTTTTTGGTAGGAATTGGTGGGGCAGGGGGTTGCTTTTTGTTTTGAGATGGGGTCTTGCTCTGTGGCACAGGCTGGAGTGCAGTGGTGTGATTATAGCTCATGGCAGCCTCAAACTCCTGGGCTCAAGTGATCCTCCTGCTTCAGCCTCCCAAGTAGCTGGGACTACAGATGCATGTCATCACACCCAGCTATTTTTAAAAATTTTTTGTAGAGACAAGGGTCTTGCTATATTGCCCAGGCTAGTCTCAAATGCCTGGCCTCAAGCAATCCTCCCACCTGAGCCTCCCAAAGTGCTGGGAATACAAGGTTTACAGGTGTGAGCCACCATGCCTGGTTTTTACTGATATTTCCAATTCAAATCTAATGTTTTAAGAGTTTAATTTATTTTAAACTTGATTTTCTTTTCTCTGGAAAATCTTGGTTTCTAACAACATAATTAAATATTTACATTATCCTACAAAATACATAAAATAATTCCTAAAGACAAAACCGATATTGCTCTAGAAAATAAAGACAACAGAATGAAGTTTAAGATTCCTTTGCTGTTCATTTGTCCTTATAATATATCCCCCTATGGATGAACTATCCAAGTACTTTTGTTCTAAGGTCATTTAAAATATTTTTTCCTGTGTAGTTATATTATAACATGATATACAGTTAGGGGCATTTCCATTTTCTATCTTGAGGTATTTTTTAAATTAGATTTAATGTCTTGAATTTGTAAAACATACATGGCCTCAAATTTAAAACTACATAGTAAGTATTATTAGGAAGAGGTTTTTATCGGGATTATTGAGAGGTTTTTTGTTTGGAGACAGGGTCTCACTCTGTTGTCCCAGCTAGAGTACAGTAGTATGATCACAGCTCACAGCAACCTCCAACTCCCAGCCTCGAGCAATCCTCCTGGCTCAGCCTCCTGAGTAGCTGGGACTACAGGTGCATGCTGCCATACCTGGCTAAAATTTAAAATTTTTTGTAGAGATGTTATGTTTTTCGTTATGTTGCCCACGCTGGTCTTGAACTTCTGGGCTCAAGAGATCCTCCTGCTTTGGCCTCCCAAAGTGCTGAGATTACAGGTGTGAGCCACCACACCTGGCCTGAGAGTTCTCTTTTGATCATATTAAGTGAAAGACCAAATAGGTTTACTATGAAAAAGAGTAGAGAAATGGGGCTGTAGCTGAGGGGGAATGAGATCAAAAGAAGGTTGTTTGGTTTTTATTTTTTAAAAATGTTTTAATTTTTATTTTTTAGAGACACGGTTTAGCTATGTTGCCCAGGCTAGAGTGTAGCAGTGTTGTCATACTTCCTGGGCTCAAGTGATTCTCTTGCCTCAGCCTCCCAAGTAGCTGGGACTACAGGCACATGTCATCACACCCAGCTATTTTTTTTTATTTTTTGTAGAGACAAGGGTCTTGCTATGTTGCCCAGGCTAGAGTGTAGCAGTGTTGTCATACTTCCTGGGCTCAAGTGATTCTCTTGCCTCAGCCTCCCGAGTAGCTGGGACTATAGGCACACACCACCATGCCCAGCTAATTTTTAAAATTTTTGTACAGATGGGGTCTCACTATATTGCCCAGGCTGGTCTTGAACTCCTGGCCTCAAGCGATCCTCCCACCTCAGCCTCCCGAAGTGCCGGGATTACAGGCATGAGCCACTGCACCCGGCCGGATTCTATATTTTAAATGAGATGAGAAATGCCAGAACACGTTTGTACAGGAATGGAAAGGACCCTGTAGAAAGAGAGAAATTGATGATGCAAGGACCGGGGGTTGGGGGTGAGCTGGCAAGTGGGGGCTGGCGTTTGACAGGAACAGGGTGCCCTCCTCCTCAGTGCGAGGAAGGGAGGCCGAGAGAGTGGGGTCAGAGGTGGTGAGGTGGGAGCAGGTGGAGGAGGTGGAGAAGGGAGCTCCTCTCTGGTTTTCCTCTGATTCCCTGATGGAGGATGAGGTGAGGTCATCAGCTGACCATGGGCAGGTAGGAAAGGCGCGGAGGTCCGAGGGGAAAGTCCGAGAGAATGATTTCATTGCCTCACTGTGCTGGCCGTCTGTCATTGATTGCGCCCCTAGCAGCTGCGGCGGGGTGCCGGGAGGCTGGCTCTGGTGTGGGGAGCTTGTCCCCTCTCCCACCGTGGGTCTCCGAAGCTGCGGAGCCCATTTGGGACCGGGTGAGAAGAGAAGCCAACCGTATTTTTTTGCCTCTTCATTCATTCATTCACCAGATATTTATTGTGCATCTGCCAAGTGCCAGGAACCGTGCTGGGCTCTTGGGACGCGCCCGCAAACCAGGAGAAATCCCGGCGCTCGCGCGCGGAGCCGCCTTAGCTCTGCCTGGCGCCCTCTTTCCCTGCACGCCAGAATGAATGAACAAACCGCGGGCTCCCGCTGCCGGAGAAGCCCTGACTTGGGGTAGCTCCTGTCACTAAGTGTGCCCCCTGCCATCCCCTGTCCCCTGCAGGACTACGAGAAGGCCCTGTTCTTCCCCTGCAAGGCCGCAGAGCTCGTCAACGACTACGGCAAGGGCTGGAGCCTCAAGTACCGGGCCATGAGCCAGTACCACATGGCCGTGGCCTATCGCCTGCTGGGCCACCTGGGCAGCGCCATGGAGTGCTGCGAGGTAGGGAAGCAGGGGAGGGGGTGGGCCAGCATCTGGGGCCCAGGACAGTGCAGATGCCTTCTTCCAAATCAGCCTCCTGAGGCCCCCAAGGCTCACCCCTGGCCCAGCCTCTCTACAGCTGAGCCCCCGACGGATACGTTTGTTCCCCCAGCCGCATCCCAAACCCCATTCCCTTCCAGTCCATCCTCTGGGAACGGGGCCTCCTTCTGTCCCCAGCACCCGCTGTGGGGCCCTGTGAAGATGGAGAAGGCAAAGAGCCAGTCTCTGGAGTTCCACTGACCTGGGTTCATATCCCAGCTTTGCCACTTCCCGGGTGACTTCATTTAAGTCACTTCTCTCTGAGCCTCGTTTCCACCTGTTAAAGGACAATAGCCACTTTGCCAGGTGCTATGACCACAGTGGTTTGGTGCGTGAGGCCTCAGCCCTATGATGGGTATATTAGGCTCTGAGAACGTGGGTTTCCCTGGGCTGTTCTTTCAGAGGGGCCCACCGGGTGGAGGGTGCCGCAGTGGTGGGGACAGGTGGGCAGGCCGGAGTGACTGGCCTCCCTTGCAGGAGTCCATGAAGATTGCGCTGCAGCACGGGGACCGGCCGCTGCAGGCGCTCTGCCTGCTCTGCTTCGCCGACATCCACCGGAGCCGTGGGGACCTAGAGGTGAGGTCACTGGGATGTATGGGCAGGAGTGGGGCACAGCCTGGCCCATCCTGATTCTGTCCCCCTCCTGGCTCTACAGACGGCCTTCCCCAGGTACGACTCTGCCATGAGCATCATGACCGAGATTGGAAACCGCCTGGGGCAGGTGCAGGTGCTGCTGGGTGTGGCCAAATGCTGGGTGGCCAGGAAGGCGCTGGACAAGGTGAGGTGGGGCCCTTTCCTGCAGCCCCGGCTCTCCCCGTGCTCCCATGTGGGGCCAGTCGGTCACCAACAGTCTGTGGGTCTGGTGCTGGGCAGGGCTCTCCCAGCCACTTTGTCTGACTTCGGCTTCACCCTGGTCCCGTGAGGCCAGGACATTTCCTGGCCATTTTCCAGGCTCAGAGAAGGGCCATGACTTGCCCAGAGACCCACAGGTAGTAAAAGGTCTGAGCTGGGGTTTGAACCCAGGACACTGAATAAACTGAGGCAGGAGGTCACCTGCCCACACAGCTCTTGTCTCTTCTGCCACTTACACACACAGGGCAGCTGCTCTGGCCCCTGTCCTCTCCCCAGGCCCAGCCTCCCTACCCCGTCCTTTCCTATGAGCCAAGGCCTCTGTCAGACAGCTCTGCCCGAAGCCCTGGCCTATGCTCACCTTCCAGGCTCTGGACGCCATCGAGAGAGCCCAGGACCTGGCCGAGGAAGTGGGGAACAAGGTCAGACCTGCTTCTGTCTCCCGGGTCAAGGGAGTACTGGGGTTGGAGGGAAGGGCCCCCCGAGCCTGCTCACTCCTTGAGCCTTTCCTGATGCCCTGGGAGCTGCACTGTCCCCAGTCCACGCAGAGAGCCCTTCTGAGAGCAGGGCGGGGATTTCATCGCTCAGAGGATGGCAGAATTCCTCAGGGGCTTCTTGAGTTCATTAGAACTCCTCGCAGTGGCCTCACGCCCTGAGAGCTGGGCACACACAGGCACCTTATAAGTATCGGTTCTAGCCTTCACTCTCCCTGCAAAGTGGGTACAGGAAGCCCCATTTTACAGATGAGAAAAGTGAGGCTCAGAGAGGTGCTCAAGGTCCCACGCCTACTAACTGGTCTGTCTTGACTCCAAAGTCTGTGTTCCTTCCATAGTGTATGTGGCCTCTCCAAATTTAATAACTGTATCCCAGCCTTAAAATGTTGAAAGCAGGCTTAGCCATTTCTCAGTGTCTTCTAGAAGATGTTCACTTCTCTGGGATCAGGTGCAGAGTAACCAAAATGCACGTATGTTTGTTTTTGGCTGGATTATAGCCACTCAGGTTTGCCCGTGTTTCAGGCTGATCAGAAGTGCTGACAGGCTGTTGTGTGTGTATTTAATTGATCAAAACAGGAAAGGTGGCCAGGCTCAGTGACGCATGCCTATAATCCTAGCACTCTGGGAGGCCGAGGCGGGAGGATTGCTTGAGCCCAGGAGTTTGAGACCAGCCTGAGCAAGAGCAAGACCCTGTCTCTACTAAAAATAGAAAGAAATTAATCGGACAACTAAAATTATATAGAAAAAATTAGCCGGGCATGGTGGCGCATGCCTGTAGTCCCAGCTACTCAGGAGGCTGAGGCAGAAGGATTGGTTGAGCCCAGGAGTTTGAGGTTGCTGTGAGCTAGGCTGATGCCACGGCACTCTAGCCCAGGCAACACAGTGAGACTCTGTCTCAAAAAAAAAAAAAAAACCAGGAAAGGTGGCCAGGCTCAGTTACGCATGCCTATAATCCTAGCACTCTGGGAGGCCGAGGAGGGAGGATTGCTTGAGTCCAGGAGTTCGAGACCAGCCTGAGCAAGAGCGAGACCCTGTCTCTACTAAAAATAGAAAAATTAGCCAGGCATCAGGGCACCCTCGTATAGTCCCAGCTACTTGGGAGGCTGAGGCAGGAGGGTCCCTTGAGCCCACAGTTTGAGGTTGCAGTGAGCTACAATGACACCACTGCACTCCAGCCAGGGCGACAAAGTAAGTAAGACTCTGTCTCAAAAAAAAAAAAAGAAAAAGAAAAAACAGGAAAGGAGTTATGGAGTCAATGCAACAGGTTTGGGCAATATAATCCTTCAAAAACATGGGGTCCCAGGTGGTTCTGGGGTTGAAGGCCTCTGATCTGACCCACTCGCTCATTCTGCATGAAGGGAAACTGAGGCCCAGAGAGGGCAGGACATTTTTCCTAGGTGCATCAGCAAGACAGGGAAGTGGCTGGGACAGAACCCTGCCCGCGCTGACTTTGGTGTCTTCTCCCACCGCTGGCCCCCGTCCCCCCAGCTGAGCCAGCTCAAGCTGCACTGTCTGAGCGAGGGCATCTACCGCAGCAAGGGGCTGCAGCGCGAGCTGCGGGCGCACGTCGTGCGGTTCCACGAGTGCGTGGAGGAGACGGAGCTCTACTGCGGCCTGTGCGGCGAGTCCATAGGCGAGAGGAACAGCCGGCTGCAGGCCCTGCCCTGCTCCCACATCTTCCACCTCAGGTGCGGCTCCCGGCAGGGCGGGCAGGGGCGGGCAGGCTCTCTCCGGGCCCTCGCGGGCCCAGCTGGCTAGTCACAGCAACGCCTTGCCTCGCACTTTCCGTGCCTGGGTGTGTTCTCAGAGCTTCCTGCATGTTAACTCGTTGACGCCTCCCAGCAGCCCACCCAGAGGTGGCCACTCTGGCTACCATAATCCCCAGAGAGAAGTCAGAGCCCTTCAAAGGTCGTGGGATCCGACCCGCAGGGCCAGACCTGCCCCAGGGTCGTGGCAGAGGCTGGGCCCCATCTCGACTGCCCCGGAGGCGCCTGGGGCGGAGTGGCCGAGGGGCAAGCTGGGCACAGCAGCAGCCTGGGAGGACTAACGGGGGACCCTTGCACCACTGCTGGACGGTGGCGAGGGACACTTCCCAGCCCCTACACGGGTCGGGGGAGGAAGAGAGAGAGGGCCCGGGGTCCGGACGGAAGAACAGGCCTCAGGGGAGTGGACAGAGCCCTTTGCCCCCCAAGGTGCCTGCAGAACAACGGGACCCGGAGTTGCCCCAACTGCCGCCGCTCGTCCATGAAGCCTGGCTTTGTGTGACTCCCAGCAGCAGTCGCCGGCTTCCGCCTCGCCCCCCGACTCCTGCTCCCCCACAGGCCGAGGCTCCTGTCTACTCCTGGGGCAGCGGCCAGGGCCCGGGGCCTGCCCACTGCTGCTCCGAGGGGCCTCGCTGCCCTCCCCGCCTCTTTGTACTTTGCTCTTTATAGAAAAATAAACCGTTTGTACCTGGTCCCAGTGGTTCCGACTTTGCCTGCCTGAGGCAGAGTGCGAGTGAGGCTCCCGCTGCACGGATGTCCGAGCCCTCCGGCGGCCCCTCCAGGCACTTGGGATGCCACGGTGACCACCCAGTGACGAGATCCCT